ATGTGAATACGATTCAATCCTGCTTGATAGGCTTGTTGATCTAGAGGCTCACTTTTGTACCTTACTCCAGATCTTGGAGCTCCTTACTGACATGCCTAGGTTGTGGGTGCCTATCCATTAGATAACGGTATGGATGGCTACTCCTATAACACCCAAGCAGGTATTGCATCGATAACATCTTGTTTTGTTGACGCACAGGAAGGATCTTCGACTCCTCGTGGGAGTGGTCTATTGGAGTCATGAGGAGATACCCTTTTGCAGTCCACGGGGCGGCATTCTGGCAGGATTGAAGACTTTTCCACTGCGTTGAACTGACGTTAGCGGACCACGCTGGCGCCGCATAGTTTACCACAGACCGGCCTATTGCTGTGTATGTCGTTAACAAGGTTTATTTATCAGCTCCCTTAAAGCTGCCGGCTGGCGACTTGAGAACCTTGTTACTGCTCCTGACTTTATCGCAAATAGCTGTGGCATGCGCGGACGACTTGGATATATCACCCCTCGTTGGGTAACTCCCTGTTTAACTCTACGGGCCTTTGACTCCTGTCTCTGAATTCCACGCACGACTGACACTGCAACACCCTTTCTCAACCCTTCTGACTGCAGAATTATTTTATTCATGTATTCAATATTTTCTATTTGTTGTTTTTTAGAACCCCATCAATTGACTTCCAACCTGAATCTATTTTATTATTTTCTCCTTCTTCTATTCGTTCATGTATGTATGAGCGGGCTTCCCAATGACCCATACATGAATTTTCCAAATTGGGAATGAACCTGTCATTCTGTCATTTCAACGCGATCATCATGCGGTCGGTACATCATCAACATACCGAATGTTGTGTCATTTAATTCTTTTCTCTCTCTTGATGATCTGCCTCACTCGCATCTTCTTGTGTTCATCCCCATCCCCAATGTCTAGAAGAAGTAATCATTAAGGCGCCAATTTGCAATTTGACGCAAATTTCTTTGAGTAAATTGTTTATATATTTATAATTTTTGTTGTTGTTGTTGCGGTTGTACGATAAAATAAATGCATACGGCATTATCTTATGGCCAGACGACATATAAAAAAATACAAAAAAAACAGCATCAAGCAAATCACACAATATCTCTTTTTGCCATCGTTTAGATGGTTGCAGATTATGGACGGCCCTACTGAAGAATACAACCGAATACCACTATCTTCTGTAAAATCCATTTCATCATTTGATTAAATATACGCTTGGCTACACGACTGCACCAGTCCAAAGATCATTCAAGCATAGGGCTATACAAATTGCATTAGACCCTTACCTAGAACTAGCGACAAGTAGACAACACAGACAACAGAGACAGGCCAGCCGAGCATTACCTTTGTTCTAGTCTCTATAATTGTGTGTATGCTGCCGAGGAAGGCGAAGATTTTCAAAATAATAGCCAAATCAACAGCATTAGTCGTCATCGTCGCATGGCCTTTTTGTCGTTGTTTGCCATGCTAAAATTTTGCTGTTTGTATTTTGTGGGCGCCATCCATTTTTTTTATTTTCTTTAGTTTTGGGGGTTTTTCTTTTGAAATCAGTTTGATGTATGAACACAGGGGCAGCAAGCAGCACACACATTCGTGTGACTGTCTATATATGTACATATTTGTGTGTTTTTTCTGCTTTAATTGGCACTGAATCCAACTCATAAATAATGGAAAATAATATTAATAAAAAATAACAAAAATAACAACACCGAGAATATCGGACTAGATCGAAAAGTGAAAAATTACGCACACACCCATTCAGAAGACTATGAAGAAGTAGATAAATATACACAACACACATCTATCCATGGCGCATCGTTCATGAGACATCATAAATTGTTGATATGTTTCTTTAATGATGATATTAAAATCATAAAAATAATCACTTTTTCGGATAATAAAAAAAATGTTTTTTTTTTTTGAGAATAACAAAAAAAAAAACAAAATGTTCACGAAGAGTGAAAAAATTGAGGTACTGTTGGTTTGGTTGTTGGATGGATGACACACCAAACAGAAAACAAACAAAACAACATCAAGTCTTTCAACACTTTCCATATATGTACATATATATACACGTATATGATAGATATATAAAAATTGACATAATTTAGATATATACAAAAACAAGTAAAAAAGTGTCAGTCGATGTAGCCGACACACATATAACCTCAGCCTATGGTTTGCGAGGTCTTTGCAATTACACAGAGATTTTATTATTCGCTTTATTTAAGGTTTTAGACTTAATGTTTAACAAATCGGTTGTTAAATTTTCTTCGATTTAATAAAATTATGGGGGAGAACTTGATCTATGTTTTGTAAACGTTATGCATATTATGCATATTTTAGTTCATTGGATTTATAAATATTGTGGCAGCCAAGGTTCGCACCCGTCTTACTGTCAGGTCCATTGTGATCATTCACGAAAAAGATATGGAGAAATGTATGGGGGAGAAGAGAAGGGGGATAGAGAGAGATGGGAAGCTTACAATGAAGTGTGAGAAGGTAAGTATGAGATAGTATCGATGGCTATAGAGATCGGACAGAAGATATATTACGTGCCAAGGTTGCACTTTCATAATCACTTTAGGGTTCTAATGATGCTGTAGATTAGAGCAGGCTCCGTCTTTAAGAAGAAACTAAGACACGGTGGAAAGTGAGCACCCACTAGTCTGTGTCGTCTGTAGGCCATGGCCGGGCAGCGACACGACTCAATTGTCTCCGTCTCCTCCTCGTCAACGCAGAGTCTACAGTAATCATTAGCATTATGGTCCCATTTACTGGTAAAGGCAGTGACCAGTAATGATTCCTGTCATTACTCTTATTTCAGTTTTGCTCAGGTTCAACAGGAAGTGTGTCCTTTTGGTAGACAGAGTCGGCCAAATAGATCTTGACACATTGCACCTAGGTTCGTTGTGCCAAAGTTCATAGACTCTTCCGTCAAAGAACACCTCAAAGTTCCGATAAATATGAAATATGGGTGGTTTGATTGATCCAACAATCCTCGTCTAGCTAATTCGTCAATGATATCACGGTGTCCTGGTACCCAACGCAGCCGATATCTGTAAGTAAGTTCTTCCAAAACTGTTCTACACTTGAGGACGGCCTCATATTTGATGTAACAGGATTTGATGGCTTTAAGAGCCGCTTGACTATCCACAATTATCCGTCTAGAAAGCCAGACCGTCCAGAGGAGGGTTAGTCCGGTTCCAGTCGTCTCTACTGAGGATACGACATCAAATCTCAGCGCTGGTGATATATAGTCGCTTAGTTTTTTACGCGTTGGTCCAATGTCATAACTGGTTCGTTCAAGATACAACCATGCCCATAGGTACAACTTCGCTGCTCATGCAGCTTTAAGGGCACTACGCGCGGCCTGACACTTAATGCTGAGACCCAGAGGCCTTAAGTTCAACATTGCGTTCAGAGCTGTTTGTGGGGTGCTCCTCGCGGCTCTTGTTATTAGAATCGATGCGGCTCTTTGTACCTTATCTGGTTTGGTGGATGTCGACTTGTGTCACAGGCAGTTCAATCAAAAAAGAGAGCCATAGGAAAGGATGTGCCTTACCACGGTGTTATACAACCAGTGAATAGTCGAATCAAGGTTTCTTTATAGACACTCAGCTTCCGCTGACTCCCTGCTTCAACTCGTCTGTAAAGACACCCTGCTTCAGCTCGTCTATAAAGACTCCCTGCTTCAGCTCGTCTATAAAGACTCCCTGCTTCAGCTCGTCTATAAAGACTCCCTGCTTCAGCTCGTCTATAAAGACTCCCTGCTTCAGCTCGTCTATAAAGACTCCCTGCTTCAGCTCGCCTATAAAGACTCCCCTCAGCTCGTCTATAAAGACTTCCCTCAGCTCGTCTATAAGACTCCCTACTTCAGCTCGTCTATAAAGACTCCCTGTTTCAGCTCGTATATATAGATTTCCTCAGCTCGTCTACAAGACGTCAGCTCGTCTATAAAGACTTATTGATTCAGCTCGTCTATAAAGACTCCCTGCTTCAGCTCGTCTATAAAGACTCCCTTCAACTCGCCTATAATGACTCCCTTAAGCTATCAAAATCTGAATGCCAATCCGTAGATTCCTTTTTGAAATTTCTAAAAACATTGCTGTGAGGATTTAAAATACGTAAGGTCGATTTCAATTGTTGATTGACTGACCACATTGTTCAACTGAGACAGGCTACGATTGAAATCCAGTCCAGTAATTGGGAAAATGTAACACTCCTTGTCTTCTTCACTTTCACAGATACCATGGTCAGGCCTTCATTAGTTTTTGTTTTACTTTTTATCTTTAGATTTTCCACCTATACCAAAGATAAAAAAACTGACCGTCCTTGGTTTTATAAATTCAAATGTTTGGAATATTTCTTTTCGGTGCTACTAAAATCTACGATGAAATAGAGGTTACTCCATTCTGCCAGTATTCAATTGGCTTTGTTTGGAATTAACCCGAAACAAAGAAAAACGATCACACCTCGGATAGGGTATTGGTTATGAGAGGTATGGGTAAGGATGATTAGGAGTAATTGGAAACAATACTTTCCAGTGAGTTATATTTTTTGTTGATTTGTCTTTGGCTGCCAATAACTCCATTTCGGAATACAAAGTATTTTTTTCGGAGAACTATGAAGCTATTTATTTAGAGAACTAGAGTTTTTCTTTGTCACATTTAGGAAGGTATGTTGTGTTGATTTCAAACTTTTCAATGACATGGTAAGAATGGTTTTTCTCACACCCTCAAAAGATTTGTTGGGTTTTTTTAGTTTTCGCATCTTCCGTAGCCTCTAAGCTTTTACGTTTTTTTTTTTTCATCGGCAAGACTTCCTGACGCTCGTCTATAAAGACACAGTCTTCTGCTTTAATGACTACCTCGTCGATCACATTTTACTCTAGCTTATCTAGACCTCTCCCATTAGGCAGACGTTTATAAAGGCTCCCTGTTTTAGCTTAGCCAATTGGCAAACAACATAAAAGATAAAGAATTTCCACCTACCTTTTAATTTCTTCGCGTTCTTTTTCCATTTTCAGCAAAATTCCGCGTTGTTTCTTTTTAATGGCCGCAATATTGCCCAATAAACCTTTGGCCTTATAGCGGGCTTTTTGAACCTCTAGCCATGCAATTTGACCTTTGGTGCGATCCATTAAGGCTTTCTCGCGCATTTTCAATAGGGCCGTTAAATGCTGAGTTTTGTTCATTTCATTTTGTATTAGTTTATCGTACTAAACCCGAAAAAAGCAAACAAACGAATATTAGGCAAAAATTTAATGATGGATAATCATGGGAACTTACCAATCCAACATTGGAATAATTTAGCGAAGACTCTGACATTGTATCATTGTTGCACTGCACTTGTAATGCTGACCGCTCATTCTCATACTGATGAAAGAAATTTACAATTTCGGTTCCGATCGATATGCGCCGTGATGATTTTGAGGGGGAAAGTAAAGCTATGCCCGGATTTAGAACCTTGGATGATTTTTGTTTATTGTTGGTAACGGCATTATAACTTGGAGGATTTGAGGAGTAATTATTGTTGGATTGTTTTTTCATAATTGATTTTATACTGCTCGTAGTTGTAGAGGTGGTGGTGGTAACTTCATCATCGGCACTTTGTGACAATTCAGTGCAACTGTGAGTGGTCTGCGAGGACCGGATGGCCAAATGAAATTGCGTTTCATTCAATGTGGCCTCTTTACTATTGAGTTCTTGGAAGTCACCACGTGATCGATTTATGTGGCAGTTGATAAAGCTTGTGGCATTATCTGAATGCGATTTGGTTTTAGATTTTGATTTCGTCGTTCGAGAAGGAAGTGTAGGTGGTGGATTTTCATTATTATCTTTGCTGGATAATTCTTGTATTTTTTGTATATCCTCTGATATTGAGGAGTTTGTGTGCTGATTTCTTGATTTTGAGGTGCTGGAATTATTTTCAACACTTTTGTTACTCCTTCGTCCAGTCATAATGTCACTCTTTGAGCCAAGGGTATATATTTCAGTCCTTGAATCCCGCTTTTGACTTTGACTCTTACTCTGTTTAGACGTTTTCTCTTCAACATGGGATTGACGACTTGTCGTAGAGTCATAGCTTTCATTTGACGAAACTATATTTGCGGATTCTATAGATGTGGAATGTGTCCTTGGCGTTCCCTTACTATTACGTTTGTATAGAATTATGGTTTCTTCATTGCCATTATCTTCCTGCAGAGATTTGGTATATTTCAATATTAAATCTTCTTTATCTTTACAATCGGTATAGTCGACGATTTCAGTTGTTTTAATTTTCGCGGAATTTCTAGTTTCTCCCGATTTTCTAGATTCCATTGAAGCAGCAGATTTAGCTTTAACTTCTTGTAATGTTTCTCTACCATCTTCTGAGGTATAGACAGACATATTTGATTTTTTGTTGTGTATCGAAATTGTGGAATCCTCCTCCTCCGCTGCTTTATTAGTTTTGGGTGTTCGATTATTTTGCGAATCTTTTATTGATTGTTTTAAATTCTCTTTTAGTTGTTCGATCATATTAAGTCTTTTTTCATAATCTCGACTTTCCATGGTAAGATTTTCTATTTCATCAGCATCATCATTACCTTCAAGGGTGCTTTCATCCACCTCTTCTTCTTCTTCAGCAGAAATTTGATTATCTGTTGATGTTGTACGAATTGTACTAGAATTTATTTGTAAATTTAAATCCAATTGGGGCAGTGGCGTTTCCAAGGAATCTCCACTATGCTCATTTGTAAGCAAAGAACTGTCCCCCGCCACCGCCTCTTTTCCTGGTGACATTAACAAAGGCTTGACTTTATTGGCCATTTCAAATAACTGCCTTTTACGACTTTTCAGCCGTTCATTTGTATTTTCCAGCGATAATTTCAATTTATCTTTAGCCGGTGATGTGGCTGAGGAATTTTCAAAATCTGAAGAATATTGTTGTCTATCCAATAATTCCTTGTTGGAATTTCTAGCAACATTGCTGCGAGGACTTAGAATACGTGATGATTTATCCAAGGTAGACTTCAATTGTTCATTGACTTGTATGACCTGGGACAGGCTACGATTGAAATCATCCAGTAATTGGGAAAAGTGTAACTCCTTATCTTCTTCACTACCCTCACAGATACCATGGTGAGATGGGGTTTTACTTTTTATCTTTAGATTCTCCACCTTTTCCAAAGATAAAGGACTCACAGGTCTGGGTTTTATAAATTCAAAATCACTTTGATATTGTTTGGAATATTTCTTTTCGGGGCTGCTAAATATTTGCGATGAAATAGAGGTTACTTCATCCTCGGTATTCAATTGGCTTTGTTTGGAGTTAACACGAGACAAGGCAAAAGTGTGTCTAGATTCGGTACGCAATGATGATACCTCGGTTAGAGTATTGGATATAAGAGGTATGGGCAAAGATGAACTGGAATAATTGGAAACAATACTCTCCAATGATTTAAATTTCGATTTAGCTTTTCCCAATAACTCCACCTCGGAATCCAAAGCTTTTTCCTGAGAACTGTGAAATGATTTATTTAGAGGACAGGAGTTTTTCTCTGTCTCCTTTGGGAAATCCATGGTATAGGTGTGTTGTGGTGATTTTAAACTTTCCAATGACATGGTAAGAATGGTTTTTCCCACACCCTCAAATGATTTGTTGGGGTTTTGAGTTTTCGTATCCTCTGTGGCGGCATCTAAGCTTTTGCGTTTTTTACTTTCATTTTCTTCGCCATTGTTGTCGAATAGTTTCCTTTTCATATCGGTGTCAGAGTTTTGATTCGTCGAATCAATCGTTGAGGTAGCTTGACTTGATGTTAATACCTTTTCCCTCTTTACCGGTACCGCTGGTGTGGGCTGTGATATGGCCTCAAGTTTACGGCGCACAGCCATTATAAAGTTATAGGGATAAACCTGGGCTGCTGTGGGCCTCAGCAAGAAAGGTAAATCTTGAGATTTTGCAGCACTTCAAATTTCTTTTTTCCTTGTCGATTCCTCTGCTATTGGATCCCCGCCGGTTTTCATTGGTGTGGTTTGCAGCATTTTCTTGGGTATTTCCAAATCGGCTACATTATCGACATCTTGTTCAAGGGGTGTTCGGTTTGTATCGTCTTTTTTGTTGTTAATTGTTTTGTCCCTTTGGACTTTACTTTCAATTTGTGTACTTAATTTGGCAGTGAGCTCTTCCAGACCTCGATTTTCTTTGTCATTGTTGATACTCCGCAAGGCGCTGAAGGAATAATCTTTTTCATCTTCAGTTTTCCGCAAGAGGCCAATGCGATTGTGATTTTCGGCCAGGGGATAACCGGACTTAAACGTACTAGCAGAAGTTAGTTGATTTTGGGTAGTTGATTCCACACATTTATTGTGATTCGGCACTTCTTTTGAGCGATCGGTGGGTTGGGAAACCTCTTTTGGTCTTTGCAACTCCAATGAGAGACATTTTACATTGGTCTTGTCTCTGCTTTTATCATTATTTTTTATTTTCGCCGGTGTCGTCCTTTCCATTTTTTCCATTTCCTTGCCATTATCCGTTCGATTTGTTAGCTGCTTCTTTTTATCCAGATTTTTGCTTACCAATTTTCTGGTATTTTTCTTTAATTCCTCTAAACGTTTTTTAATTTCTTCCTTTTCCCTGTTGGCCTTGGCATAGGGCTGCAGTGCCGCTTCAGATCTACGTTTTTTCTTTTGCATTTCCATAAAACGTCTGGCCTCCTCGGGGTTATAGGTTTTCCTATTGTTAGAGGACGGTATTTGAGAATGCAAGACATTTTTATTTTCATTTTTTCCAGCTGGCAATTGCAGAGATTTGGAACGGGGTTTGTTGCCCCCAACACCACTACCATTTTGGGATCTTGCAGAATCGATGCGCGATTGCCTACCACCACCACCACCGCCACTAAGAGGTTTTTGTGAATTAGTTTTTGTTGTTGTTGCCGCTGCTGTTCCGGTTGATCTTTGCATTTGTAGATCTGTATTGCTTCGGCGCAAAATCGGTATGTTATCCTCCCTAGCTGCCTTCTTCTCAGTCTTAGTTTTTTCATCATTCATCATCAAATCCATTTTCTTTTCTTCGGGCGGTTTGGATTTTGTAATGTTATTTAGCATTTCTTGTATGGCTTGTATTTCTTGTTCCCTTTCTTGTTTTTTCTTTGCAAAATCTTCTTGCTGATGCTGCACATGCACATTCATGTTGATTGGCGTCGCCGCTGTTGGCTGAGCTTGGCATTCCTTTGCGTCAATGCTGCGCAGGCTCATGGGATTTTATTTCTTTTCTCTTCTCGGTAAATTATATTTGTTTAAATAAAAACAATTTTCACTATTAGAATAGATTCGATAGATTCGAAAAACAAAGACAATTAGATTCTAAATCGCCAAATAACCCTTATCACAAAAATTTTTACCTGGATTTATGTTGTTGTTTCTACTTTTATCCGTTTGTTTGTGTGTGTGTAAAAATCAACGCTTCAGCATTTTTCTTTTTGGGTTTGTTGTTGTGGCAAAACTTCAAACTAGTTTTTTTTTTTTTTTTTGAAATTGTTGTTTTTGTGGTATGGAATATAATTAAATAGTCAGTCTTTATTTTTGCTATTATTAAATGATTTATTAATAATTCATCACTACTTTATTTCCTGGCAAGGACACCACAGGTCTGACCGGTCACTCTGACACTGAGGAGGACTAGAGTAGTTCCGGAACGAACTAGTTCATTGGAACTATTCCGAGAAAGGAACGAACGGAATTGGTTCCAGTTCTTTAATTAATATAATTCCTTTCTCTGATCCCGTTCCTTTTTTGAACTATTTGAAGCAAAGGAACTGTATGGAGCAAAGGAACTATAAAGAGCAAAGGAACTATATGGAGCAAAGGAACTATTTGGAGCATAGGAACTATAAAGAGCAAAGGAACTATATGGAGCAAAGGAACTATATATGGAAAAACGAAAAAAAAAAAATAATAAAAGAGAGAGAGAGATTCAAAAGAACAGTGGAAAGCCTCCAAGACTCCAGCCTTCATAAAATTCGCTTGTTAATCGTCGTTCTGCCAAGACTCAAGCGACGTCGTACGCAAACCTTCGCCAACAAATGGTCTGTTCCAGTACTTTTTATACCCTCCACCATAGTATGGAGGGTATATTAGTTTTGTCATTCCGTTTGTAACTCATCGAAATATTTATTTCCGACCCTATAAAGTATATATATTCTTGATCAGGGTAAAATTCTAAGACGATCTAGCCATGTCCGTCCGTCTGTTGTAATCGCGCTATCTTCTGAAGGAATTGAGATAGGGTGCTGAAATTTTGCATAGGGTTGTCTTTTGTCTGCAGGCAGGTCAAGTTCGAAGATGGGATATATCGGTCCACGTTTAGGCATAGCTCCCATATAAGGGTACCCCCCAATTTTCGGTATTTTGGGGTTCTTGAGCGCGTTTTTCAAGCGAATTTGTAGTAAATGTATCCACAAACAATTATAAATATAGGTCCACTTTTTCTTGTAGCCACCATATAACGGTACCTCATAATTTTCAAATCTCTCCAAATCTCTCCACAAAAAATTTAAATATAGGTCAATTTTTTCGGATATCCCCCATATAAGGGTACCCACCAATTTCGGTATTTTGGGGTTCTTGAGCGCGCTTTTCAACCGAATTCGCTGCAATTTTGTACATTGGGTTCATATTGCGTACCAAATATCTCTACTAAAAATTATAAATATCGGCCCACTTTTTCTGGTAGCCCCCATATAAGGGCACCCCAAATTTTCGGTATTTTGAGGTTCTTAAGCGCGATTTTCAACCGAATTCGCTGAAATTTGGTACAGTGGGTTCATATTGGGTACCAAATATCTCTATTTAAAATTATAAATATCGGTCCACTTTTTCATTTCAAATACCTGTCAGTATACCTGTGGTGGAGGGTATCCAAAGTTCGGCCCGGCCGAACTTAACGCTTTTTCACTTGTTTAATAGTAAAGCTAGTAAAAGGGAAACATTTCAAGTCTCAGAGTACAAAATAATTTGAAAAGTTCGGGAAATATGCCAAAATTAGATGGCAATACTTCAAAATCAACATAACAAAAAGTTTACAAAGAGAAAGCCATTTTGTTTTGTGCTCTCTTAAATTTGATTCAATGCTTTACCAGTTTTATGGGTTCAGGAACGGTTTTCGAGTAAAAAGTTGCAAAACTTGTAAAATTAGTAGATTCTTTTAGGTTTTGGAACGGAGCTAAAATAAAAACGACGACTGAAAAATTGAAAAACGTTCCACCTGCTAACGAATGGGAGGAGAAGACAAAATGGCCGATAAAGATGAACTCAAAATGGTATAACCGAAAGTTTACGAATGAGGTGGGATATGGGATAGAGACTAAATGGAAACCGTGTTGTTTACGAATGAGGTTTAGGCAAATTATGATTAGGGATAAGTAAATCGACTTTCGATTAATCAACTTTTTGTATTGAAAAGTCTAATGCCATGTACAGACGAGCGTTGTTCCCTCTCTCATTCGTGGTTCGACTCTTAATTATGAAGTAATTACATAGTTCAAAGGAACTACATTAAGGAACTAGTTCCTTTTTAAAAAAGAAACGAGAATGATCGATCCGCTACGTGAACTAGATTGCCCAACTCTACTGGCAAGGACACCACAGGTCTGACCGGTCACTCTGACACTGAGGACAATCTAGTTTCGATTAAGCGACACATTTGACACAAGTCGATTTTTCGGGTAATCGAAAAATATATCGATTTGATAGTTTTAATAATACCGCCAAAAAGTATGCAACACAACCTTAACACAACGAACCTTAAGGTTCGACATTTTAAATAAAAAGTGTCTGACGAAGAAAACGACCGAGTCACATGATCCCTGTACCATGAGGCAAGTATGGGGAAGGAATGACACAAGAGTTCATATTTGGTTTTATACTATGATATAATCTTAGAATGTGTAACACAGCGACGTTTGTAATAGAGAGTCGAAGTCATCGACATCACCCTCACAAACATAGACGACTCTGGGATTAGGAATTGGTAGGCATCCTCGGTATAAATTCAAAGCTAAAACAGCAGCTCTATTGATTGATCAAAGGGATCTCAGACCCGACGGAGAGCGCGTAAGAAGGCCTCCAAGAAGGTTGATAAGACACAACCACCCTCTGTCAATCCACCCTTGCCGAATTGTCGAAACCGATATCCAAAGTTGTGACAATTGGGCAGTTGTTTGTGGATGCGCCAAAGGTAGCGAGCGCAAAGCAGGTGCCTGCTTCGGCTGGACTTATCTCTGCGGCGATTGTAACCCCGGGCTTAGCGACTCTGCTGCTCCATAGAAGGTACTGGATGATCTGCGAGTAGCAATCATGGATAGAGCTGACCTTGACGGGAACATCAGCGAAGATAAACATTTGCTAGTCGGCAGCTATTTGAAGGACCTCTTCTTATCCGACGAATTTGATCGACGGAACCTACGGTTTGACCAGACCACCTTATACAAAGGGGTCAAGGTTGTTAATTGTCGAACTAAGGAGACTGCGGACTTCCTTAAGAAGACAATTAACAGCTGCGACCGTCTTTGGGAAGGTAGCAGACTGGCAGCCGTAGCGGTCCAAGAGATACCAAGCGGTATGGTAATCTCTGTGTGGATCCCACCACATTTTAAAGGGCTGGAAAACACACTAAGTTTAGTGAAAAAGCGAACGACGGCCTTCAGATGAGGAGGTGGAGAGTCCTCGCCTCATTTGAAAGGAACGGCGGTGTAGTCGCGAAGTTCGCTACCGACTCTGCTGGCGAGCAATATTTGAGGAAGAATAAGGGGGAGTACCTGAAGCATTAACGTTAGACACCCTAATGCCAGGAAAGATAAAACTCGTTTTTGTCGCCTCTAGGACATAATGCCTCAAATGTCTTTGAATGCCTACCAAACAGGGTTGAATTGTATTCACTTAGATGAAGTTGAGGCAATATTTCAAGAATACTGCTTGAATACCATCCTCGGAGAATACCCACACAACTGAGATTAGGGTGGTGTAGTCGCCTCAATTGGTGTAAAAACACGGTGCATAACATTTGTTCGACACATGATAAGGGTCCACATGGTCATGACTGCTACACCTCTTCAATTGCACAGATAAGCTCATTATGGACTTAACCTATATAAGCTACCGTTTTTTTTTAGACCTGGAGTTGGAAGCAGAATTACATTGAGCACAAAAAACCCCAGTGGTAATAGCTGTTACAAACAACTGCTGTTACAAAACATCAGCCTATCGAATAGCAGGCATGCTTACCCATATACAGTACCGTAAATATTAAAATATGTTCTCTTGTTTCTCAATACGTCAGTCATTTTAAATGGTGAATTCTGAGTTACGCTCGGACACACTTGATCTCGATATAGTTTTGCCCAGCACTGCTCTAAAGATGAAAGGTTCAAGGAGCCTGTTGACTTCTTTCTGAAAGGAGTTAAGGTTCCTGGTTCTTTCTGGAAGAGTGCCAGTTGATAAATTCTTTACGAAATGATGAGCTCTACATGAATTACGCCTCCTAAATACGTCGATAAATGTGCGAACCTTTCATTGAAGAAAGAATGAAAACACTTTCTACTTTTTTTTAATATTAAAGTATGAAAAATTATTGTAGTTTATTTAGTTAGAATTCTACTTAAGAGTAAATAATTGTTTGTATTTTTCTGTATCAGTTTTTTTATAAAGTTTTTTTTTCAGAAGTTTTACAAAAAATTCGTTAGAAATAATTGTTTTTGTTTTTGATTTCTTTTCTCACTCACAATAGCTGCCAAATACACACAATATTACAAAAACAAAATTTAATTCTTAATAAAACGTAAATAAAAGTCGCACATAAACAACAGTAAATAATACAAGAAAAATATGGTTTTAGATTTATCACAATACCAATATAAAAAATAAGGGGTTCTTGAAGACAATAAAAAACTATATGAGTATATAATAATAGGAAATAATCTTTTACAAAGACGAAGAAAAAATATATAATTGTATGTAAAATCTAATAAAATAAATGGCAATATATTCTTAACAGTTTTAAATCATTTTAGGATCCCTTATATAAATTCTTGAAGAATAAAACAAAAAATAAAAACGAAACAAAACAAAAATATTCAATGCAAAAACACAAAACGAAAATAATTATGTATTAATTCTAAACATTAACAAATTTAAGTCTTTTTTTTCGGCTTCACTTCTCTAAACTAACAAAAACAAAAAGAGAACTTACACATTGGATTATAAATCATTTTAGTTTTAACTATCCCTGCTTTTCTTTCGAGGGCTCGCGTGTGGAGGCAGGTGGCGTATTATTATTTTTTTCGTTTCTAAATTATTACAAAATCACTTAGATTACGTTCTGGTTGTACCATATTTGAAGGCATCAATTGAACAAGTTTATTGAAAAGGAACGAACGACGTGCTCGCAATTCCTGTATGTAACTGTGACGTGAACGTTTACCGCCCGATTTGCGATATGCTGTATAAGAGGAAGCGGCATCCGATATACCTGAGGTGGTCGAACTTGAACAAGATTCCATGGAAAGATCATCGGGCGCATGAGTATTGTCATCGGATTTAGCACAAACTTCTATAGGTATGGGGAAAAAGAAATTAATGAAATAAAACATTCCTCGCTTTATTCTGTTAACCGATTTTTCTATTCCATACCATCATCTGTGGTGGAAGCCATATCTGAACTACATTCGGCTTCGGTTAAGGATTTATCCTCAGTCGTTGATGTGCCAGCAGCTCCTCCCAAAGGCAGTGTATTTAAACGTCGTTCCTCGGTTTCGATGTCATCGTCACATTTGAAAAGTAATGAAGCCAATCTATGGAACTGTTGGAGACACAGGGAGAATCAAATTTTTTTGTTTTTAATTTAAACTTTAAACAAAAATATTTACATTTCTCAATTGTTCCGGATTACTGTGATCTATAACTTCAGCAATTTCGCTACGCAAATAATGCATAGCTTTGTATGGATCAGCCTTGGCCATTTCTTCATAGTGTAGTTTACGCACCAAATAACGGCAATGTTTGAGAATTTCATCACGTTTGGGTCTGAAAAAATATTCAACGATTTGAAATTCAATTAAATAAACGAAGGTAAATTAAAATATGTCATATTTGTTGCACGGCGAATGAGGATGTCGCCACCCGAAGAAGGATAGTTTGTCACTGTTCGTCAGATAGGTCTACAATACGGACGGACCAACGAAGCCGGCTACAAAATTACTACCTTTCCACAACAGAGGGGTCTACGATCCGAAACGACCCAAATATTTATCGGCCAACGTCTAAAAGCAATAGGGCTGCTATAACAACAACAAGATTATTACACTCGCAACGGAGTTCATGGGCACCCATTGCCTTAATAAGGAAGTCAGCAGGCTCCCTATTCCCAACTTGACCTTGACTCCTTAATATAGGATAATCCTGCCAAATCTAACCGTTGATGTTCAAACTCATCCATTAGAAAAACGGTCGGGATACTTATATAGCTGGCTTGTGACAGAACATTTTTTTCCATAAGCCGAGCTTAAAAAAGATTTCCAGACGCGGTCTTGCGCACAGCTGTACCAATTTGAAAGATCGTGTTTCAAAATGTTGTCTTACACTTGATATTTCCATCGAATTCGTCGCCTTCCCCTTCTGCGTGAACAAACAGTTGGCTCGTTTTATCCATTCTCACAACATGACCTAGCCAACGAGACGGTATCGGATAAATAATAATACGGATTGGCATTTTTAGGTGTTTGGATTATGCGGATAATTTTTTTAGGTCATTCAGAAAAAACTGGATAAATGGTTTGGGTCATTTGCATATAGTGGATAACGATTTTACAGTGTTTGTATAACGCGGATAATTTTTTTAGATCATATGGATAATACGGATAATCATTTTTAGGTGTTTCAATTATGCGGATAATCATTTTAGATCATGTGGATAAATCGGATAACGACTTAACGACTTAGCAGGATTTGCATAATGCGGATAAATATGTTAGACCATACGCATAACTCGGATAAGCACTGTAAAGTATTCGTATAACGCGGATACACTTTTTAGGTCATTAAGATAAACTGGATTTCGCAGAATTTGGATAATGCGGATAAAGATTTTAGATCGTCTGGATAATGCAGATAAAAATTTTCGAGCATTTGGATAACGCGGATAATGTTTTTAAATCTTTCTGAGATTTTTTTCTCTCAAACGGATTTTGCTAATAAAGTAGCCAATAGGAGGTTATACAGTTCCCTCAATCGGTAGAGTGGACGACTGTGAACACCCTCGAGCATGCTCATCGACTATCGCATCCTCTTCAATGTTACTGTGTCCTGGAACCCAACATAATTTAACTATGTTTTGACTATCTCAGCCGTCTTCGTGATTGCCAAGATTTCTGCCTGAAAAACGTTTTTTCGAAGATTTTTTCTCTCAAACACTCCAAAGAACTGTCTTGCGCAAGTACCCATGCTTCAGATCCATACACCAGCAGCGCGTCTTGTAGAGCGAGTTTTCTAGAAGATATTTTAATGCGGATTTCAATGTAAGGAAGTTAGAAGAAAGACTCCCTGTTTTTATGCGAAAAATAATAGAAAGAATAACCATTGCTTTCCTATACAAAGACCCTGTTAAATTCCTCTAGTCTGTTGATTGAAAACCTTCAGTCCTTCATTTTTGTTTTCACTTACTTTTCCAATTCCAATATCCAAAAATCATCAAGTCTTAGCTGAGGCGTTGTCGAACGTCCCGGATTACCGCCAAACATATAATGCAATTTAGCCATATCATCGTAGACAAATTGATGGGCATAACGTGGGCATGGTTCCATAACATTATTTCGGCTATTATCAAAATTTGTACTATCAGGCGATGATGAGGCATTATAACGACTGGTGTAGATGCGGGACCATTGATGGGTGTCCAATGAATAGACCCAAAATGAATTTGATGCATCAACATGATGAATATCACGGCGATCTTTGATTTTGCTAAGACTCTGTAAAAGTAAAACTTTGAAGAGAATACAATTGGAGAATAAAAACAATAAGACTTCTTACCGAAAACACATAAATCTCATTACGCTCACAATCAATTGTGGCCCTTAGGGTATAACCAGGTGAGGGTTCATTTTTACCATCGGAAGAATTTGTGGGATTACTGCCACCAGCAGCTGTAGCATTATTGGAGCTATTGCTGCTAACACTGCTGCCATTGGCATTATTATTGTGATTACCAGTCGAATTTGTTTGACCATTTGAATTGGGATGCCTATTTAAAATCTCCAATGTTTGGGTATCAACTTTATAGGTTATAAAATCATGGATATCCTCTTTGCCACGTTGGCCACCATAAATGTACAATTTACGCTTTTTCTATAACAAAAGAAATAATTCTTTCTTGTTAAAAAAATAAATCTCTCCCAAAAAAAAATAATCTGCCAACCTACATTATGAAACACCATACAATGGGTGATACGCGATTTAATGGACAAAACATCTGGCTGTGATGCCGTTGGATGATGACAGTCCACCAATATCTGAGTCCATGTATTGGTGGCAATGTGATAGGAAAACAATCCCGAATATTCGGGTTCACTTGTTGTCGAGGCATTAACACTGCGCGGTGTCAAAACCTTACCGCCGAACACATATATCGTTCTCTTCTCAACATCGATACACATCTGATGATCATACATCAGTTGGGGACCACCCACCTGACATGTATCATCACAAATTTGCAGCCATGTCCGAGCTCGCGTATCATACAAATAGAAATCACTTTTTATATATTCCGTAGTACGAATGGAGTTGTCCAAATAACGGCCCAACATAAAGATGTTCTCACTGACCGGATCGAAGACCATTTTATGACATGAACGTGGTGTGGGTCCATTGAATTGTTCGGAATGTTCAAATATTTGCGTCCAACAATTATCCTTAATATCGAATACCCACAGATCGCTTAGATCTTGAAAGCCATCCCAACCGCCGAACAAATAGATTAAACGTTTTTTGACATCCATAACCAGTTGGTGGCCACCACGATTACCTGAAAGGAAATAAATAAAAAAAGATGTATAAATGGTATTTTTTATTCAAAAAATGCAATTTGAAACCATTAAGGCCGATTTTAATTAAATTGCAAACAATACTACTCCATTTAACAAGTTTTTTAATGATATCTTAAAGGTATTATTCTAAATTTAAATGTGGCTAACTATTTTTATTAGGAAGCCGATGGACTAAAAAAACATTTTATAAGAATATTTTAGTAACCTTCCAGGAAAAGAATTCCAAGAGATTTTCTTTGCAAGAAACATCAGGATGTCAGCTGTGAGGTCTAGAGATTTTCTATAAAGTCGAACGGAAGATATTTATGTGAATAAAGATCTATGGAGAGGTTCTATACAAGGTTCTATTCAATCTATATAATGAATAACTTTTTTTAGAAAAAAACTAGCGGTTTTCTTAGGAGTTGACATAGAGATCTGCTTCTGGAGTGGGATGATTGAGAAAATATCTCTCCTCTCAAGCAGCTCTAAAAACTGTTTTTTTTTTCTTCAGAGGAATTTTGAGACTGGAGAAGATATGAAAACATGAGCGTGAACTATCAGAAGATCCTCTTTTATATGCCATTTGAGCTGGACCATCCTCATATATCAGAGTCATAGTTTTAATAGAGCTAAGAATCATCTTGTGGTCTATTCCGGAGAAGAATGCTAGATTATCAATTTCATATTTACCAAACTGTCGGTTTGTCTTCTGCTAATTAGCGATGGACACCTACAGAGTAAATGTTCAATTGTTTCCAGCTCTTCCTCATCCTCACATAAACGGCAATAAACCACTCCGATAATGTCCCGTTGTGAGAACTGAGAGATCTCATTCTGCAGTGACCTGTTATTATGTAGCCAATAGGAGGTTGTATAGATCCCTCAATCGATAGAATGGACGACTGTGATCCCCCGGCTATCGGGGCTATTTCATTTCCTTTCTATGTTGCTTGTCCTGGAACCCAACATAATTTAACTATCTTCGTATAGCATCCTTGCAGTCACGAACCGCTTTTGAGTCACGAACCGCTTTTTCAGCTTTGCTTCCCGCCTACGGGAAGCAAAGCTGAATGCTAACGGACGCGTCCACAGGTTGCGGATAGTGGGAAGCCCAACACTATTCGTTGGGTAACTGTTAATAACCAATAAACAGTCGCGGACAATCAGCGGGCTCAGGGGGAGAGTCTCGGAGGAAATGACCGAGTGCCAGTGATCCCGGAGCCGACGAGGCGAGAATGGCGCCCCCTCTCATATATCCATCTCAAAGGTTTGGGACACTACCTTCCTAAAGTGTCCCCCCTAACGCTGGGGTGTCATGCGACCTCGTGCCTATCAGCGTTCCACGGTTTGCAGTCAGGGTACCGACTGTATTCGAACGGAGCCTTGTTGATACCTGGGCGCCTCAACAAGTGTTTCAGGCTTAGTTGCCAAGTCCTTGCCATGGTAAGGGGCTATGCCATGGTCGACCTCAAATCCTCACACACAGCACTTTTTATGGAGCCGACTTTTAATACACCTCAGGGAGGAGTACTTTCCCCCCTTTTGTGGCTTCTGGTGATAAATGAGATACTTATGAAATTCAATCATCTCAAGATAAAGGTTGTAGCCTATGCCGATGATGTAGTCTTGTTGGTTGGGGGTAAGTTTATTACGACAATATCAGACATCCTGGAGGGTGCGCTTTCAACCCTGTCAAATTGGGCTTGCACCAAAGGTCTTGGTGTAAACCCCACTAAAACCGAACTGGTGCTCTTCACTAGGAAATACAAAATTCCTAGTTTCCGCCTGCCATCACTTGGTGGAGTGACTTTAACCCTTTCTGATGAAGCTAAATATCTAGGTACTGTCCTAGACCGCAAGTTACTGTGGAATAGGAATGTCGAGGAACGCTCCAAGAAGGGATTGCTGGCACTCTATTCATGCAAGAACTCCATAGGCAAGAGTTGGGGATTGAGACCCGGAATTATACACTGGCTGTATACGACGATCGTCTTACCCATACTTTCTTATGGATGTCTTGTCTGGTGGCAGGGGGTGAATAAAAAGAAGCTGCTGGCAAAACTGAGCCTAGTACAGCGATCGGCTTCGATTCTGATCACCGGAGCACTAAGAAGCACACCACAGGCAGCCTTGAATGCAATCTTGAATCTCCAACCTTTGGATATTCTGATCAAATTCCAGGCGGCCAGGTGTGCCCTGAGACTCCGGGAAACAGATGCCTTGAAATCGCTGAACTATGGTCATGCCAGCATCCTAAACATAACGCCAGGTTATGGCCTTTTTAGGGGGGATAGTCATATCAGTGATTATATTCCCCCTCATAGGGACTTTAATGACATAAAAGTTGAATTTCCTAGCAGGGAATCCTGGACTAGTGGCTCCCTACCTCTACCAGGTCTGTCAATCTTCACAGACGGGTCCAAGATGAAGGAAGGCACTGGCGCAGGCGTCTACTGCAGGGAATTAGGTATACAGAACTCATATAAACTCAACAATGATTGTAGCGTCTTTCAAGCAGAGATTCTTGCAATCACGAAAGCGGCCGAGATAGTAAAAGCACTTAATACCGACATTACGGGACCGGTGACTATCTACGTAGATAGTCAGGCGGCCCTGAAAGCGGTGAAGTCGCATACTATAAACTCGAAAGCAGTTCATGATTGTAAGACCGCTCTGAATGATATACGACAGATAGTTGGGCTATGCTGGGTTCCAGGACATAATGATATTGAAGGGAATGAAATAGCCGACGAGCTTGCTCGAGGGGGGTCACAGTCGTCCAGTCTTCTGATTGAGAGATCTGTGAAACCCCCTATTAGCTATTTCATTGGCAGAATCCGCGCGTTCCATTGCGAGCCGGCTGAGGGAACCTGCTTGCAGAATCTCTAAATCTATCTGGCCAGAATTCTCTCGTAAAAGAACGTCTTCGCTGCTGGATCACAACAAGAGGGAGATTAAGATCGTTGTGGGGATCATTACTGGTCACTGCAAAGTTAGATCTCTCACTTCTAAGTGGGACTCCAGTGGAGAGGATTACTGTCGTCTATGTGAGGACGAAGAAGAAGTGGAAACAATTGAGCACATCCTCTGCAAATGTCCATCGCTAATCAGCAGAAGACATAAACAGTTTGGATGCTATGAAATTGATAATCTAGTCTTCTTCTCCAAAATAGACCCTAACCAAATTCTAGGCTTTGTCAAAAAATTGACTTGGCTAAAATAATGTCTCTTCCGCCTCTCCTTTCTCACTATTTCTCTCTCTACTCTTCCACTATTTTTTCCTCTTCTCTTTATAGGTATACCTATACATAAAGGATGATCACAATGGACATAGTTTCCGAGTGGACGACTGTTATAACAGCCGTACATCCCTAACCTAACCTAAGTGCCTTAAGGGCCGCCTGACTTTCGACATATATAGTCACCGGTCCTAAGTTATTGACAGTAAGGAACCCCACATAATTTAACTATCTGTCGTATAGCATCCTAGCAGTCACGAACCGCTTTTGTGCTAATAGTACACGACTTAAGTGCCTTAAGGACCGCCTGACTTTCGACATATATAGTCACCGGTCCTAAGTTATTGACAGTAAGTGTTTTGACTATCTCAGCCGTTTTCGTGATTGCCAGGATTTCTGCCTGAAAAACGTTGCAAACGTTAAGTTTATATGAGTTGTAGTTGGCTAGTTCCTTGCAGTAAAAACCTGCACAAGTACTTTTCGACCAGTCTGTAAATAGTTATGTGAGGGAGTATAGTCACAGCTTTGAGCATTTCTCTCTAGATGGTCAAAAAATGACGTTGTGTTTGGGATAGTACCATGTCCAAGGTTTAGCGACTTCCAGGCATCCGTTTCCCGGAGCCACAGCCTGAAATTTAACCAGAAAAACCAGTGGTTGGAGATTCAGGATTGTATTCAGGCTGCCTGTGTTGTGATTCTTAGCGCTCCAGTAATCAGGATCGTCGCCGATCGGTATACAATACTCATGTTGGCCTCTCTAGAAGGTCACAAACTGACGTTGTGTTTAGGATAGTAGCATGGCCAAAGTTCAGTGACTTCCTGGCATTCGTTTCCTGGATCTACAGCGCACATCTTGCAGCTTGTAATTTGACTAGAAAATCCAGCTTGTGGTGTGCTTTACCTATAGAGTTCTTGAAGGAGTAGAGCGCTATAAGACATTTCTTAGTGCGTTCCCCAACATTCCTTTTCCACGTTAGTTTGTGGTCAAGGACAGTATCAAGATATTTTGTTTCTAAGGGGAAAGGGCTTATGTGACTCTACCCAATGATGGCAATCGGAAGGTTGGGATCTTACGTTTCCTAGTGAACAGTACCATTTCTGTCTTCGTGGGATTTGCGCCAGCCATGTGCCCTGTTAGAAAAAGTTAATAAGGCACCCTAAATGATATTAGAAATAGTCGGCAGAAATTTCCCACCGATTAGCAGGACTACATCGTCGGCATATGCTACAACCTACGGTGGTCCCCATATTCTTCTCGATATGACCGACCACCTAATGTAAGGCAGTGTTCACTGATTTGCCTTTGATATAGGCATGCTGAGATTTACTAATTTTGTTTTGGTTGATAATGTTCCTAATTTCAGAGTCTAGTAACTTTCTAAAGTCTAAAGTACTTCAAAGTCAAGGAACGCAGCCGGAGGTCCCCATATTCTTCTCGATATGACCGACCACCTAATGTAAGGCAGTGTTCACTGATTTGCCTTTGATATAGGCATGCTGAGATTTATTAATTTTGTTTTGGTTGATAATGTTCCCAATTTCAGAGTCTAGTAAACTTTCTAAAATCTTTAGTAGATAGGAAGAAAGGCTAATTGGTCTATAGTCCTTAGGTAGCGTATGACTCGGCTTCCCAGCTTTCGTGATGAAAGTCACCGTATCCTCTTTCTACAGACTTGAAATATACAATAAAAGCAGACATGTCCAAAAGAACCCCTGCAAAGTTCATCTGCGTGCTGCAACATGGCCGGTATTAAGCCAACTGGAACCGAGTATTTGTAGGGTTGAAAGCTATTTATTGCCCATACCAACCTTGTATAGCTTATCCTTACCTTAATCACAGATCTTGTGAAAGTTAAAATTCGAATGTGGATTTATAGTCGACGAATAGATAGTATATATCCATGTAATATTATTGGGGCTTTTCCAGGATTTGGCGCTGTGTGAATATCTGTTTCGTTGGGGATTTTAGTTAGCTAGTTTGGCTCATATAAAAATTCTATTAAATATAACTTCTTCAAAAAAATATATACCTGGTTGTGCTGATCCTTGAACATGCTGCAAACGCCACGCATGTTTATAATCCTGACGATTCAAATAGTCATCCATGAGGCCCTCTTCAATGCAATCGCTTATGAACTTTTCGGCCTTTTCAAAATCGCCATTTACCACCAAACATTGATGTAATTCGCTTATCAATGGATGTTCCAATTGGACATGGGTTTGATCCTGTAAGGCCTTGAATGCTGTATCATATCCTTGTTGGCGAAAATGTTTCAAACACAAACGAATAATTTCCACTTCACGTAACTACAAAGAATCAATATTTGAATGAATAAAAAAAATAAAATAAAATTTAATCATGTTTACCTTATTGTAATCCTTTAAACAACCACTGGTGTACATGGGATCATCTTGGCCCAATAATTCAATATACCAAATGCTATAGTTAAAGGTGGGTCCCCACGATAATAGTGGTACAATTTTGATATATAAAATTGGCAGACTTGTTGTAGCATCCTTGGCAACACATCGTAAATTGAATGTCTCGGGTATGTGATCGTTGCGTAAACCTCTATGAAGGGAATGGATGGTGCGAGGTAGGGAAGTGGTTAAATAATTAAATCATGCTATTCGCTTTGGCTGTGTACTCACCCCTCCAATAGTAGAACCATATGTTCCTCATCCAAACCACCATAAATTCGAAACTTTTTGATATTGCAGACATGCGACTTTTCAAATTTACCAAATTTTATCTTTTTCACTATGGCAGGTCGGCGTAATTTCAATGTTAAATATTGTGGTGGATTATTGTTGTGGGCCGACCACCGCGACGACTGATCACTGGGACAGTCCACAAGTATATTTCTAAAACAGAACAAAAGTCATATATTCAATTAGAAAAAAATAATTCATAATACTATTAAAAAAATAAATGGGGCCCAACCAAGGGTTCATCGATCTATAATGATTTTTTTGTAGGGGCAACAAAAATGCATCTATACTCCGTATTAAATAATTCGAAAAATATGTTTGGAGACCGTAAATGGTACGATTTGCATTTGATCATCATTCTATAAAAGTGTATATACAGGGGTTGGGAATTCAAGAGTATATTAAATTTGACATTCCCTTAGCAAAACCTCTAAAGATACGTCGGAGACCCCATAAATTATACATATTTTGTTGATCTGAATAAAATTCTATGTCGATTTAGTCATGTCGGTCTGCTGATATCGCAATAGAGATCACATTATTTAAGATAGAATTTTGAAAGTTTACCCTGACATTGCTACAAATGAGGTACATGTTTCCATGTTTTGGTATAGCTCCCATATTACTGAACCACGCAATTTTTGGTATTTTAAAGGGGACTTCCTAAAGGGAGATTTAATATCCGATGAGAACTCAAAATACCCGAAATACCGAAATTTTTATGAACTTCTTCGGAGAGAACTTCTCAAAAAACACCAATTTTAAGAGACTTTAGAAGTCTAAGTTAAAATAAATTGTAACTTATGTCGGTTTTATTAAATATATGATTACCGTAACGACTACTCAAAAGAAATTTAATTAAAATCGGTCTATCGCTAAAAATTAGACGATGAAAATGCAGAAAGCAGCTTAAACCGAAACAATCAAGGCGTTATATTCAAAAATGTATATTGACTAGGGAGTGTATTGAATAAACGAGAAACTCGGACAAGGAATGACTTGTCCATGTGAAGATCTAAACGGGGTATAATTAAATACGTATTCCTAGAAAAGCGGGAAAACTGAGATGTAAATGACAGTTTATCATCAATAGGTACACCAAGAATTTCTAAAACGCAAAGATTTTGTATTTCGACCCCTTTGTATTTAACATTCAGGTCAGCTATTATTTTGAAATTTAGAACTATAGTTAAAAGCAAACATAGTTTATAAGAAACTATAGTTCTAAATTTCAAAATAATAGCTTTATTAAATCTGAATTTATTAAAATAAGCCTTCTACTGTAAAATTTCAAATTTGAGGGTTACGTTTTTTTTATGTTTTTCTTTTTTTGGCGAATATGGCTCGACATCTACTTTTTAATGTAGGCAATCGAATTCATTTTAACCTGCTAGTGAAAGAAGGCTACACAAAATCGCTATTAAATTAGTGGAGTAGAGAAAAAAGGTTTCTTCCTAATTCTATTTTAATTGAGTTGTGAAAAGGGTTTTCTTCAACGTTAAAAAAATTAGCTGCGGGACTTGCGGACCTAAAAGTTATTTATGTTTTTAAGTGACCACCTTATTAAAAAATATGACATATTCAAGAAATAGTTAGAAGTTAACGATCGAATATGTTATGTACACCATTAAAGAAATTATTGAGGGCCACATGGGAAAGAGAATGAATGATTCAGAACATAGTAATCAAACAATAATTTACATAAAATTTACAATTAATTGGAAAAACATTGTATCGGAAGCGGAGATATAGTGGAATTAGTAATAAAATATTGCTTTAAATGGTTGCTTTAGAATTAGATTTGGTCAACTTGAAGATTATACTTATTTAACGCATTTTTTAGTCCTTCTTTAGGAAAATTAGAATCTAAATTTAGGCAACGGACTTGCATTACCTTTAAAAAAGGTCGTAGAGAAAAGTTTTTGTTCATGGCATTGGATATGTATAGTACAGTACATTAAATTGGGGGGTCTTTCACAAGATGTTGCCAAGTCGTGTCACAATATAATTAGGAGCAACCCGAATATTTGGAAGAGCCGAGTCAAATAAGGATTTTATTCAGTATTTTATATAACAATCCGACCCTGTTATATCCTTGGACAGTCATAAAATAAAGGCCCGAAATTATAATATGAATGTAATACGATATCGTACATTTAGGAAGGCAATTGGTCTGTTCCCGTACTGCACGAATCTACTGCTTTTTACTACGATAACGAATTTTCCTTTATGATATCGAAGAAACTAGTAAAATCTAGTAGATTCTTGCAGTACGGGAACAGACCAAATATTTTATTTATTCCTGATATGTGTTCTGAAAATCTGATGAATGATCGGTGTGAATCCAAGCAATGTTTGACGTGTGTCGTACGGTGTTCACACCGATTTGTTTGACGTCTGTGGCCTGGTGTGTAGATATTTTCTTATTTGTTGTGAAATTTCGTGGAGTGCAGATCAGCGGACAATGTCAAACATATGCAAAAAATGTTTTGGAATAATTTTTTTTTTTTTTTTTGTTTTTTACAAATATCCTACAGTGTTGGAAATAAAAATGTTTTTTCCCGGAATAAAATAAAAGTATTTAATACATTTATTTTAAATAAAAATATTTGTTATTTTTTCCGTCAACACTATTGCTGTTCTATGGATCCGTTAGACGTGTGTGGGCTAGGAGCTTCACACCGATCGAACGCATATGTTTGACGTGTGTGACCCACTTTAGTAATGTATTTAGTGTCTAAAGTATATGAAATATTTTGTTATTAATACAAATAACAATAAAAACATAGTGGTGAATAGTGAATATAACGATTTTATAATATAGAATAGTTATTTATTTAGGAATATAGTTACTTATTCAGGGCTAGTTCTGAAACCTTAACCAATAACTAAATTGCAACACATATTACTGCCATCGTCCAAATTTTAAGTAAACTCTAATTTTTCATCGAATCTCGCTGAATGTTAACTATTTCATGCAAACATGGAAGCTAGCAAGGATGTATTGGAAGTGACAATACCTCATAACGCTATGACTTTTGATAACAGTAGTCTTGAGAAGACCGCCAAATCTACTCATAGTACACAGGTGTTGTCAGTTCCTTCATCTGGTGCGTCTTCCGAGGTTGTAGGTTATCAATGGCCCCTGTCATGAAAATTGTTTTTGTGTCTAGGTTTGCGCCTGATACCTCGGCTGAGGATATAAATTACTATATCAAATCAAAAATAAATGGTAATTATTTTCTAAGATGCTACAAGCTTCGATCGGCTTACTCTGAAAATAGATCATCATTTAAAATATTAGTTCATGATGACATATTTCCAAGTTTGATATCGAAAGATTTTTGGCCTGCTAGAGCGTTTGTTAAAGAATTTCTAGAAAGATCAGATAATTTAGCTCATTTACCTCAGAGATCTGAACCAGTATCAAAAAACTAGATAACCTATTTACCATTTGCTATCAGAATGTAAGGGGGTTAAACATTAAATTAACTCGTTTATTTACTGATAACATTGGTTTTGAATTTAGCATTATTGTGTTTACTGAGACTTGGCTCAAAACGTCTGTGTTAAATAGTGAAATTATGTGTTCAAAATATCAAATATTTAGAAAAGATCGTACTGGTAAAAAAGGTGGCGGCGTCCTTATTGCAGTTGATGCCAAATTTTCTACTAATTTAATTAAATTAAATTGTTTTTTTTTTACATAGAATTTATCTGCATATCACTTGAATTGGGTAAATTTAAACTATTCGTTACGTGCTCATATATACCTCCTTCATCACATCTTGATATTTATAATCAGCAGTTAACAGCACTAAACTCAATTATTAATATTATGAATGATTCCGATAGAATTTTAGTTCTTGGTGATTTTAATATGCCATCTGTAAAGTGGCTCTCATTGCCAGACTCAGAAAGTTTAACGCCGTTGACATCTGAAGCAAATGTAAACCAATATATATTTGATATTGTTAATCGATTTTGTGAAATCTCCTTCAAATAAAAAATATTTTAAATTGTAATGATAGAATCCTTGATCTAGTATTTGTAAATTTTACACAATTTTTTGAATCAATTCGAATTCCTGCTATATGTACTCCAGAAGATAATCATCATCCAACATTATATATAACCATGAGCTATAATTCTACAATTAACGAAAGTTCATGTGACTCATTTAAAATATTCTTAACTATAAAAAAGCAAATTTTCAAAAGCTTAATTCTCTTATTTCATCTGTAAACGGGACAACTGCATGTCAATGTAAGAATCACTCCGATTTTGAATTTATAATAGATAAATTTTATAATACTCTAAATAAATTTATTTCTGAATGTGTTCCAACTGTTAGAATTAAAAATTCTGACAGATATCCATGGATTTCGCGTGAGTTATCAAGTATAAAAAATTTAAAAAATAAACTTTTTCGAAAATATAAGAAGTCAGGCTCATCTATAGACTACGCTAATTATTCTGTTGCTAGGTCCAAATATACCATAGAGTCCCGTATATTGTATAATAATTACCTCAACAAGATCAAAAATAATTTTAAAACTAATCCGAAGTCATTTTATGAGTTTGTTAACTTAAAAAGAAAAGTCTCCTCAAAACCCACAATTTTGAAATGCAACAATAAGGAGTTTGTAAAAAACTCTGAAATAGCAGAATGTTTTGCAAATTTTTTCGCCTCTACTTATTCATCTGCAGTTTGTCCAAATATAAGCTCATATCCTTATGAGCTATCCAAAATATATCAAATATATGGGAAATTACAAAAATCTTTTAAATTCCTTGAAACTGAGGTTTGCAAGGTTATAACTCGCGAAATATGAACATATTTCATATAATTTAAATTATTTCTATAAAATGAAGTGTTCTTGTCAAAATCTTAAAATATTGGTAATAAATAATAAGTTGCGTGGAAGCTGTGATGGTGGTAATGTAAAAAAATGGGTGAAAATGGGTTGAAGCCGACGAGTTTTTTTTTGTGTTCTTTCCTGATTTGTGGCTAAACTACACAACGCACGCACATGTGATCCGTGACTAAGTTGCAGAATACCCCATGGTCAATATGGTTCTAATGTATGATTTTTCGATATAATCACTGCATCCACCCAAAAAGGATGCTGACATTTTGAAGCCGGATTTTCGGGGTTTTTTGAATTTTCTTATAATTAGGATGCGCATCCAGATAATAGATTAAACTAATTATAGGGTTGTAGAACTCGTGATTCTGCTTCGTTTAGTGTATATCTCATGAATGTGCTCACTGTAGCTTCTTTGCAATTGGGTTCCAAAGATGAAAATTTGGTGCGTAAATTTTTATAAAAAACATATTTTTTGAGTCTAAAATTAAGAAATTCCATTCAAATTCCGTGGAAGCCCGCGTGATTTTAGTTTTTTTACGTGACGGATCTAATGAGCCCATCCATGTTCACTTCCGTCCAATAAAACGGCGGATATAGATACCTTGAATGTGGGAAAAACTGCAAAAACGTATTTTGACAAATTCGCGTAAATAATCGCGGTTTTCTTCGAATTAATTTTACATGCATTTATGCTTGTATTGTCAAATTCGCGAATCTGTGTGGAAATAGGTCAAAAATACATCGATACGCGAATAATATGCGTATTTTAGTAGTGTTGGCGGGTTATTTGGGATACCATTTGTATTTTGTTTTTGCAAAATAGTCAGGCTTAATCCCAGTTTGTTGTTTTTATAAAAAACAACTATTTATTAGTGGGGAATGTATGGCATTGTCCGCCGAGGGGTAAGGCAGGGAAGACTATAGTTTCGGATCTCGCCACTGATCCTCATCAGTTCCCTTAGTTTTTTGTTGGGATATTCTCCCCAGAAGCTATTAATAGCTTCTTTACAAAAAACCTTTCAAACCCAAATGTCTCTTGTGACAAATCGAAGTTCTTACGTTACCAGCGATACGACCCCAATGAGAAGTTCGTTTCGTTGGCGCCTGACTTCGTGGTCAACAAGGCATTTACAGACAATTACAATACATTTCACACTGCTATGTGTCGTCACTTTGTGACGAATGCACATAACGTTGTTGTTGGTATTGCTAGTTAAAGCAGTAGTGTTGGCGGGTTATTTGGGATACCATTTGCGTATTTTATCAAAAATTGATCGTGGAGGCACATCCGCGGTCCTTAACCGATTCTTTTAAAATAGGTGTCCTTTTGCGTATTTTCATAGAAGATTACTGAAATCGGATGCGCATAAAAATCGTATGTACGTTGCGTGATTTTTAGCCATTTTTAGGGTTTTTGCATAGTAAAGTGCATCGAGTGGCACACTTTGACCGCTAAATTAAGCATCGAAAAATTAATAATTATTGAAAGACATTGATTCGGTTTATACGAAAATCGCATGCGCATCAACTGATTTCAACTAATTCGCGAATTGCAAGCTTTTCAATATTGATCATTTTTATGTATTGTAAGTGCAATATATTTAGCCATTAATGACGTCGAAACTCTTATCAGATGAATCTACCGATATTTAACAATCATCTAAAAGAATTTGCAGAAGAAAGCGTCGTATATTTTAGAAGATTAAAGCAAAGCCGTATCCTCTTAACCATACTAAAAAAATCGAAAATTCAAAAAAAAAAAAAATTTGTTTTAATTTAAAAATTAATTTATTTTATGTTTCTATTGTTTTCTATTTTCTATTTCTATTTGTTTTTCGCGACTATTAACCCGTATTTCAGTGTGATTTGACTAGTATGCAAATAAAACAATGGTGTTTAAGCATTTGTGAAGAAATTCGCGAATTACAACGAATAGGAATCCATTTAATTTATATTTGAAATACAAGATTTAAAACCGCTATAACTTTTGTGCGCAGCATCCGAATTTGTGAACGCTAACAGATTTTGAATCAGCATATTTTTCTTAACCTATGTACCAAAAATCATAAATGTGCTCGCAAAAAAAATTTTCAAAAATTTTTAATGGAATTTTAAAAGAATTTTGTAATTTCCCATATGTGTTTTTCTAGAAAATTTTCATTGATGAGGCAATACAATATTAACGGTTCGGTTTTATCAACAGTTGAAACATTCGTGGGTCTTGGTATTTTAATGGATCCAAAGTTAAACTTTAACAATCATGTTATTTCTATGGTAAATAAAGCATATGGTGTATTAAGTTTTATAAAACGGTGGGCCAAAGAATTCTCGGATCCTTATATAACAAAACAACTATACACATACAAATACAACCATATTCTAATATAGGTCTAATTAGAATATGGTTCTGTTGTATGGGATCCTCAATATGCAATATATTCCGATAAAATCGAATCAGTGCAGAAACAATTCTTACTTTTTGCACTGTGAGGTTAACATTGGAATAGTGATTTTGTGTTGCCTTCTTACACTAGCAGGTTAAAATTAATTCGGTTACCTACATTAAAAAGTAGACGTATTATGTTGAACACTATGATGGTACTAAAAATATTAAATGGTAATATACCCTCTGATTTCCTAATTTCATCTATTAGAATAAATGTTCCCTTTCGATCTAGTAGATATTATCAACTATTATATGTAGATTTTCATCGCACAAATTATTCTATGGGAGATCCACTCAGTAAAATTTGTATTGATTTTAATTCTGTGTACTCTAATGTAGATTTTAGCAAGAATGTTGAACTTATAAAATCTAATATAATTGTATTTTTAAATGAGTAGTGCAACTTAATAATAAACTGGCTGTTGGAGAAGATTCTGTAACTGGTTTTCTATCCCCTTCTCACATTCCACCATGATGCGGATTATGGTGTGTACGCGATCCCTACGAAAGGGGAGGTCGCCCCCTCGGTCGGCAGGGTGGGAAAGTGAGGCGTGGGAACGTTCGAAGAAAAAAGAATAGAGGTATACCAAATCTTGGTCCAATCTATTCAGATTTTTTGCCAGTTGCTTCTACTTAGGTAGATATAAATTGAGAAATGTTTTATTGAATAGTTGAAAATTAAAGATGTTATAGGCCAAATGAGTGAAATGTTCAAGATCCATTAAATGGGAGGTATACAAAATATTGGTCCGATTTATCCAGTTTGTAGTCAGTTGTTTTACAAACTTAAGTAGATAAAATTGCCAATTTTTATTGAATAATAAATAAATAATAATAACAATAATATTTGAATATTTCGAGGTGTTGCAAACGGTATGACCAATTTAATATACGCTACACCCTATGGTGGAGGGTGTAAAAAGAAAATATTTATATTTTAAAATACAGAAAAATAATAAACAATTTGTTCTATACTAATGAATTGACATTTCGATTTCCTTGTAAACCACCTACGGATTCCACAGATTCCAAAAAATAAATTCAAAACAATGTCCCTCCTATATTTACGCGCACTGACACACAAACAAATCTCATTGTATTAAAAGCGGCGTAGCTGCAAATGGAGGCGGCGGCGTTACGATTACCGTAATAAAAATGCCGCCAACTGCGCAGTTTACGGATAGTATTTTTTTGTTGTTGCTTGTTTCATAAACAAATCATTTTTTAACAAATACAACGACAAAACAAAAATTAATATATAAAATGTAAAAGGTGCCGTTGTTTCTTCTTTTTTGTTTTTGTCTTTTCTTGGTTTCTTAAATTATCTTGCGCTAGCTTGTTTTTGGTATTTTTCCTTTTTTATTATTATTGTTATTTTATCGCAAAATATCATCAGCAACAGCAAAGAACAAAAAGTTAACAACCTACAAATCCCCAAGATATGACAAACGCGTATAAAAATGCTTTGCAAAATAAAGAAAAAATGAAAAATAAAACGGGGAATAATAGCAACAACAATAAAAAATAACAACAAACAAATCAATGCTAATGCTGCCGATGCCGCTGCATAACAAAAACAAATTCGGTCTTTGCTTATAATCGATGGAGCAAGGTAGCCAGCCAGTCAGCTAGCTATCAAAAAGGAATGCATCAAAGAAATTGAAAAACAACAACAACGCTAATATTATGCAAAAAGAAAAAAAAACAAAATTGGACAAGAGTACAAAAAAGAAACTGATAATACCAGCAGCACACACTAGCTGGCTGGCATATTTCAAGACCCCCCAAAAACACTCGGGGCTTCAAGAAATTTCAAAAGCTGCCTGATTAGTTATTTATTTTTCGACTTACTCTGGCACATAATTGGTGGAAAATGAAGAGTAACGATGTATTTCGTATGGCAACTTATCAAATTCTTCCAAGTTTTCCAATTTCAGCGATTGCTTTAAGGCATTACTGCTGGCTGCGGCGGCAGTCATCTTCATTTGTTCTTTGCCATAACTGTTGATCATCATATTGGCGGCCGCTCCACTACTTGTGCCTACACCACCACCACCAATTGCTGCATTATCTGTGGCATCGGTTGCAGCAGCAGCACGCAAGGATGTTGGAGTGGTAGAATTGTCGTTATTGTCGTTCATCTTGTTTGTTTCCGAATTTTTGATTTATTTTTCTAATCGTTGTGTTTGGCCCTTTGTTTGCTACTGATGGATGTTATGCTAAGTTAATTTACTCTTTAATATTTTCTTTTCTTCTTTTCTACACTTTATTTTTTGTTTAAATTAATATAAAAAACACAATATCAAAAAAATAATCCAACAAGAGAGAATATAATGTCAGTGACAAAGAGCAGTGGTGCTGTGTCGTTGCGGTTCAACGTTGATATTCACTGAAAAGAGCTTTGGAAATGAAAGTAAATTTAATGAGGTTCCTACATTGAGATTTGGATTTGGTGTAGATGTTCAAATGTCTTCACATTCCGTTTGGAACATCTTGAAATCTTTGTCGGGGACCCCATAACCCGTACTGAAAGAATCTACTACTTTTTACTACGATAACGAATTTTCCTTTATGATATCCATGGTACAATTATAAAAGGTAACAGCATATCCCAGCTGATTTGATTCCAACGTAATACGTAAAACATGAATTTGACAAATTATTTTTTTAAAAATCACCCAACAGGAAAATTAGGAACACATAAAATTTGAAATTGTTCAATAATAAATGTGCTCCCTTATTCAATTTACACAATCTGCCTGCTGGGAAAGTTTGAGGAAGCAATCTTTCTTCATGAAATAACTCGTCATTCCCTTCATTTTCATATGTGTTACACATATAAGTGGCTATGACTCAATTATAGGAAAGATTTGGAAGCGATAGAAATATACATTTGATAGATTTTCATTCATGTTTTTATTTACATTTTTCTGTCAAATGACGTTGAAACTAGTATAACTTACAACAACAAATTTCCATGTGGTTGTTGTATCGTTTGTTGTACAACAACACTTGGTGTTACCTTCTATTATTATATCATATGTTATTCTTGTAATACGGGAACAGACCAAATATGTGTAAAAACTTACTAGGAGTAAACATGTAGGTTAGGTTTGGGGATTTGCAGTCACTAATGTGGCTCCAGCACTCTGAGACCGTCAGGTCCATTGTGATCATCCACGAAAAGAAAAAGATATAGAAAAAAATTGCCAAGGTTGCATTTTCCCAAACACTTTAGGTTTCTAATGATGATGTATATTAGGCCAGGTTCCGTTGTTGAGAAGAAACTAAGACTCGGTGGAAAGTGAACACCCACTAGTCTGTGCCGTCTGCAGGCCAGGACTGGACAGCAATACAGAAGATGCTCAGTTGTCTCCGTTTCCTCCTCGTAAACGCAGAGTCTACAGTACATAATCAGTAACATCATGGTCCCATCTACTGGTAAAGGCCCTGATATTGCAATGACCAGTAATGTTTCCCGTCATTACTCTTATTTCAACTTTGCTCAGGTTCAACAGTGAATGTGTCCTTTTGGTAGACAGAGTCGGAAGAACGCCTCAAAATTCCGTTAAAGATGACATATGGGTGTTTTGATTGAGCCATCAATTGCTAGGTCTGTAGATTGAGATACTCGTCTAGCTAACTGCTTTTTCATTACCCATGATATCACGGTGTCCTGGTACCCAACACAGCTGGTAGATGTAAGTAAGTTCTTGCAAAACTCTTTTACACTTAAGGACGACATCAGATTTGATGTAACAAGATTTAATGGCTTTAAGAGGCGCTTTACTATCCACAAAGATAGATACCGGTTCAACGATTTCTGCATCTAGATTTTTTATCAATTCCACTGCCTTCCAAATCGCTAAGATTTCCGCTTGGAAAACACTGCAGTTGCTATCCAGCTTGAAGGTTAACCCAAGATCTAGCCTTTCACTGTAGACGCCAGCCCAAGTACCTTCTTCGATCTTGGATCCGTCTGTATAAAAAGTCAGATCGTCCAGAGGAGGGTTACTCCGGTTCCAGTCGTCTCTACTAGGAATACCGACATTTTCATCGTCAAATCTAAGGACTGGTGATATATAGTCGCTTATTTTAACGCGAATATATATCATAACTGGTTAGTTCAAGATATAATCATGCCCAAAGGTACAACTTCGCCAACGATTTTGTTCATGCAGACTTAGAGCAATACGCGCGGTCTGACACTTAATGCTGAGGTCCAAAGTCCTTAAGTTCAGCATTGCGTTCAGAGCTGCTTGTGGTGTGCTCCTAATGGCTCCTATTATTAGAATCGAGACGGCTCTTTGTACGTTATCTAGTTTGCTGGATGTCGACATGTGGCGCAGGCAGCTAATCCTACCATAATTATCAGATTTGTCAATGATTGCCACTTGAAGGTCTTCGTGTCGGGATGTTCTCAGTAGCCTTTTGACTTAGGTTAGGCTTTGGATAAGAAGTCGTCTTCACACCCTTGTCAGAGACAGTGGGCTTCGCCGATTCCACTACTTTCCACTCGATTCAGAGGTCTCCTTGGAGATTTTTGATCGAGCAGTTAGATTCGGGAGAGAGATCCTCTCCATTTCATTGCTCATTGTAGCGGATTATGTTAACCCAGTAGGTTTCAATTGTCAACTCCTTTGCATATATGACAAATAAATCCTCAGAAAGTGGGTTATAGTACGTTTACATTTAACCGGATTTCGTTAACCCAGAGGGTTTCAATTTTCAATTCCTTTGCATATATGCCAAATAAATCCTCATAAAGTTGTGGTCTGTTCCCGTACTGCAAGAATGTACTATTTTTTATGATATCGAAGAAAATCATAAAATCGGGTACATTCTTGCAGTACGGGAACAGACCATAGGATAACCCGGTAAAAAGTTCTAATTTATATGCCGTTTTAACCCTGCAAAAAGTTCTAATGTACATGACAGTTGATAATTTTAGATAGTTACGTCAACGTCCGACTTTCCGAAGAATAGAAAAAATTGTTTAATAACTCAGTCTGACAGATGTCGAATTTCAGTCCCATAACTTTGAAATCACGAAATGGATAACAATTCGTTTAAAAATTTCAAATTTCCTGCTTTGGTTATGAAAGGACTTCGTGAGCAAAAGCAACAACAATAGTGCGAACAATGTTCAAAAGGGACATCAGAGAAGAGGATTTTTTCGATTACGCTACATTTATCGATTTGTTAAAGTCGATCTACATACCCCTAATTTTGTGTATATGAACGTAAAAAGACACCAAAGATCCCCAAAATAAGGAGAAAATTTATTCTGATTGGAATTTGCAAAAATAAAACAACAATTCAACAGAAAATTCAGTGTGATACAAACATTCATTAGTTAACGGAAACCACAAAAAAAAGAAAACAAAGAAATATTGTAGAAAAATTATTGAAATTTAAAAATACCAGAGAATCATCAATAAAATTGCAAGTGCGAATAAAAGAAGAAATATATGTGAAAAAAGAGAAGCACTAGTCCAACGAAGAAGAAGAAACGACAGAAAAAAAGTATATTTTTGGTGTTGCTGCTGCTGTTCAAATTTTTGCTGAGCAAAAAATACAAAAAAAGAAGAGCTACTTTTAGGAAGAAAGTGTGAACACCACAAATTCAAAGTGAAATTCATTGCAGAAATAGAATAAGAAAAAACACATCGTAAATTCCTTTCAATATATATTCGGCAGATACTTAAGCAACAAACAAAATGGTAAATACAATTTTCAGTTTTTGTCGATTTTTATTTTTTTTTTTCTATTTAATTCATGTGTTGAACTACGAGACAATAGCGAAATGAGACCAGACCAACCGACCGACCGACCATATGATGTACCACAAAATAAAAGACCTTCTCTGTCCCATTGCCCCCAATGAGGCCATCCACACATATTTAACACAAGGGGGTGCGGGGGTGAAACGCACACGAAAAAGGCCAATAAATATAGGAATAGAAATAAAACAAATGCCAGACAGCCAGTGAGCCAGCCAACTACAAGCAACCACCATCACCACCTGCCACCTTGATTCTACGTTGCAGTCAGTCAGTAGTGAATGAGAGACAGACTAGCTAAACGAAACGAAAAAAAAACAACAACAACAGCACACAGAAAACCTATAGCCGCCCATCGCGTATTCAATTGTGTCACAATCACATACACACCCCTTTCTGAAATTACTTTTATTTATTTTTTTATTATTGTTTAACTAAACAAGTAGTCGTTTCATTTTTTTGTAAATATTTAAGGTTGCGTAGAATTTTTGTATATAATCTTCGAAACTTCATATTTTTTTGGGAACAAATGATTTTCTCAAGTCCTTTTTGAAACATTAAACCATGACAAAATGCAGCTGATTGTGTGATCAAATACCTGTAGCTATTAATTTAAAAAAAAATCCTTGTTAATATTTCAATTCAATGAGCGTGGAGACTCGAAAATCGACATCGACCTATGGTTTCTTCACCAAAGTTGATTAGAATAGTCCAGAGAATGATCATAGGGACTGGTTTTAATCAATTTTTCGGCTCCATACAAATTGGCCCGCCATAATGATTAATGACTTTTTATATTCTTTTTTTCGGCTTGAGGTAAATAAAATTCATATAAAAAGTTTCATATAAAAACTTAATATAAATTTATGTTATGTTTTCATTGCAACTGCTACTTTTTTTGACCGACCTGATTTCATGAATATACCCCTTTTAACGCAATATTTTAAAAATACAAAACTGTTATAATTACCAAATAGATAGCAATTGGTAATGTTTTAACTATAATATGAAGAGAAGACATAACGCTTCAGTACGAATATCTCAATGCATTACGCTGCTATTATTTTGACCGCAGCTGTATATGTATAGAGTCTTCTTTAGATTTAACGACATCTATAAAGACTGCCTGTCATTAGCTCGCCTATGAAGATTCTTTGTCTTCCGCTCGCCTTCCCTTGAGCTCCTCAACAAGGCTCCCATATTTCATGTAATGCGGATCCCTTCTGTTCGCCAATGTATTTATTACAGATTACCAATCTTCAGTTTTTTGTAGACCCTTTACCACACTGTCCTTTCAACTGTGTCTAACTGGGCTGGGCACATGCCTTACTAGGAAACGTAAGATTCCAAATTTCCGC